TTTTGTTTTTTTTTTTTTGCGGTATACTCTTGAAATTATATATATATATTTCAAAAAAATTGAAAACCAAAAAAAAACAAAAACAATTCTCTTTATGTAATTTTAAGTCCTATTTGTCAGCTTTTGTGATTCATTTGAGGAAGTAAAGAAAATAAATACGCCTTTTCTTTCTGCCCTATCTGGTTTGATCCTGTTGCATTTTGCCTTCAAAATGTTTTGTGCAGAACTGTTTTTATTGTAAAAATGAATGTCTAGTGATTTATTATTATTGATCTTGTAAAAATGTCTCTGTGTATTAATCTCCTTTTTGTTAGCAATGGCAAACTTTTTGTTGTGATTTTCACTTACGAGCTTCGAAACCCCCAGGTTTTGGTCCCTCTGGGCAAACTTGTGATTACAAATATTTCAAAATGATATTAAAATCTTTTGAATCTATTGAAAACAGTGGCATTATGTCTCAAAGGCTTGTTTTTAATGCTCAAAAAGACGGCCAGTGTTCATTGCCGATATTGATCTCTGCATCTGCCAAGTCACGTAACCTAGAAACTGCAGAATAAAACCAATTGTATTATATTTCTGCCTCAGATTTCTGTCTCCTCCTTTGATACTAGTGCTAGTGTTACATGTGTCACCTCGCTGACCAGAACAAATGCGTCTGTCGGTTTAAGATCAGCTGTAAAGTAAGCTGGAGTTGAGTTGTGTTCAGTCTGGATGCACTGCAGCGTTCGACGTGACGTTCTGAGTCCATTGTGTTGTCTTGGTTGGCACAGCAACAGAAGTGCTCCTCTTTGCGCTCTTGATTGAGTGAATAAGAAAAGGTGTAGTGCAGTGATGTAATAATAAACGAGCATGAGCCTGATTTGGTTCCTGTGAGAGCAACCGGTGGCAGCGTCTGCAGCTTGATGAGAACTATTTAGACGTTTAGTAAAAATAAACTAGATTCTGAGTTACATGAGAAACGGTTAATAGTGCTGTGGCTGATTCTAGCTACAAGCACACTGCATTATAAATGTTCTGTGAGAATGTGACATTCATTATTATATAATAATTCAGAATAAATGCCTGTATTCTTATTTACCATGAATGCATAACAAAGGTCTTTATGTGAACATCCAGCTATCTGAAAGCAATTACAAATAATAGGACTGATGCTTGTTTTTTTTTTTTTTTTTTTTTACGTTTTAAACACATTTTACTTTTGTTTTTTTTAAAGGTTTATAATATTAAATTGTTGACTACAAAAAAAAGTGTTAAATATATTGCCCAGGGAAAAATTTTTCCCCTCAAAAACATTTTTTTTTTTGCTTTTAGTTGTCATATTTAAGCTAAAATTTTTGTAAGGGGTTTTTATCATTAGTCTGAAAATCACTATTAAAAAGGTCCCTGCGTGGACCTTAATAATAATAATAATAATTATTATTATTGTTGTTATAGTGCAATCTATTTTAGCTTAGCATTTCTATTCAGCAGGGACCTTTTTAATAGTAGTGATTATTATTATTATTATTATATTAGTCTTTGAGCTGTAAGTTTACCACAGCCACTGAACAATTTCTATAATTATGAAAATGCCTGTAGCGTTTGGAGCAATTGCAGTGTTGACACAGTAGATGGAGACAGAGTTTAACTACATTTATGACGAGCAAATACGTTCATTCTCCCTGCAATTGTACATATTATTGACTGCGGTTTCTAAACAACTCCCGCTGATGCGAGTTAGTTTGGTTGAGAGGACCGTTTGCTTATTGTACTTTTCACAGATATTGCCATCATGCGAGGCAGTTCTCAAGACATCTACAGACATTTGGCCAAACAGGTTTATACTAATAATCAATATATCATATTTATCGCTTCAACTAATATTTACATTATAACTGATGACGTTGTTGCTGTCTGAGTTAAAAGATAAAAATAGCACCAACATCCGGGCCTTCACGCTGTTTACCTTAACCACGTGTTATGCTGCGCGCGCTGCCGTGCGATTTGGCACGTGTCGTTGCAGTGAACGCGCATTACCGAAAACAAGCGAGATGCTGTGTGCGCGGGCTCGTGTTTGTCTGGAGCGCGGAGCCTGCGCTGATTGGCTCCGTGAGCGATCTCTCTCGGCAGCTGATTGGTTTGACACAAATTATCCTCAACCTGATTGGTTTTCATGTCTGCGGAGAGAATGTCGTCATCATAAACCTATATTCTCAAACATGTTCGATAGATTTGAAAACCAAAACAAATCGTTAGAATCTACGGTTAACTTTCTTATCCCTGTGGCAAAATTCTATTTTAACAAACAAAGGTTTCTTAAGAAAATACCTACTTTTATAGATTTCTTATGTGAAGTAGAACATTTAATTAAATCACTAAGAGTAATTAATAGCAAAAAAATTTTTTTTTTTTTTTGAAGAGATATGATGATATCTTTCATGTACCGTGATTAATACTTGTTTTGGTGTTTTTTTTTTTAAATCCTCTTTTCTTTATTTGTTCTGTTCCTGCCTTTATGTTCATAAAAAAAGCTATTTAAATGCATTTTTCTCTTTTAACAGTCATCAGCTGTGTCTCATTTAGAAGGCTGCGCCCTCTGGAGGTCGCATCCTTCTAAATGAGACACAGCCATCGTCAACTTTTTTTCTTCTTCTTCTCTTCTCTTCCATATGTTCAGATGACATTGGATGTATTGTTGATACATTATGTGTAATGTATGCAAAGTTGTATTTCATTAACGTCATCTCTGAATTGTTCGCAATAAAAAAAATAATAATAATAAAAAAAAAATGTTCGAACGAAACAATATTCTCAATTTCTGCATATTGTAGCCTATATTCAATATTTTTCTATACTATATGTTGGAGATGACTACTGTCATTTTCACTGGCTGTAATATGACTGCCATTTTAATATTATTAATAAAAAAATGTTCGATAGAAACAAACAGATGGTATTAAAAACAACCAGATTCATGAGGTATCCTTTAGACTATAAAACCTATCCACCGAGGCAGTAAGAGTATAAATCTATATAATAATAATAATAATTAAAGAAAGAAAGATATGCATTTAATAATGAGAGCATTCGGTGCTCAAGACATATTTACTGTTGTGGCTTCAAAAGGTATCTTAATACAAATATTTTATTTAATTAATCGTACTATAGCCTAATTGTGTCTTATTTCAAATGTAAATGTAAGAGCGACTTGAAATTCACAGTCTTACTGCTTGCAACCAAGTAGTACACTGATAGAAGTACTCTATGAATAAAAAAGCCACCAAGATAACAAATATTAGTAAACCTAAAGTATTCATTATTGTTGTTTTTGAAACCCTTTTTTTATTTGACTCTTTTGATGATTACCTACGATATATTTTTGTTGCCTTAAAATTCCTTAAAACTGCAACTGCATAATTGCAGTCTGTTAAATTCCCACGCAGCTTTCCCACAGTATGATTAATTTACTTTTTGTGGTTTCTTTTTCAAAAGTAAGGTAGCGTGCTTGTATAGCGTGCGAAATATTTGTGAATGAAGACAGGACAGATGTAAATGTTAGAGAGCGTGGAGCGCACAGTAATGTACGTGACCGCATCACAGTCTCATTCAAAGAAAGAAAAATCCGCAGAGAAGAGTGTGTCAGAGCGGAAGAACTATGAACAGCAGACTCTGAACAACAACAACAACAACAGCATCATCTTGGACCGTCGTGACACATGCGGACGCAGCAGGACTCCTAAATGAGAAACCCTGCAGTGGGGAGAACAGCTGATCCACTTCCACCCAAAAGGTATTGCATTCTGCATCGTGCAACATTTGCCATGTTTTCTTCCCAGCGTGTGAGTTGCTTTAAGAGCACTGCATCCTAAGTGCCTCAGCGAAGGTCACATTGGTGTGCTGTGTTTTTAAACGATACGGCAGGGGACCAGTTAAAACACGACGCTGTCAAGCACAACGGTCTTTAGTTTTATTTTATTATGTGAGCTGGGTAATAATTGCCTTGTGTCCGTGTGAAAAGCTTTACTGTGGGTTACCATGGTGCGGAGTTATAAAATGGGACGCAGAATGAAAACACATGACATCATCAGGACAGTGGCGGCGACGCGACAGGCTTCCTTATTATTTAGACGAAGACTTCACGAATTCACGCCCTCCTGCTCGCTTTTGAAACTATTGATCAATATTGATTATCGTCGGAACGCTGCGTCTGTCTGTCTGTGTCAATAGGTAATTAGTTAGGCTATTTATAGTTGAACTGTCAACGAATATGATGACAGTGGCGTTCATGTCATTGTAGACTACAGGGAGTTTTAACGTTATGCATTGCATCTGGCGTTTTAGTTGCGCACAGATACTAAAATTCTGGGTTGGATTATTGTGTGACCATCATTTATCTGAGGCAGTCTCTTCACTTATTATGTATAAGGCGTAGCAGATGCTCTCTGACGCATAAAGATGGGGCCATTTCTTTAGTGCTGTCAGGTTGTGAAACCCACCCCTACATGAACCCCTATTTTAGAGCAATATTGCTCTAAAATGACTCTGTCTTGATGTGTTGGCATGATTTGCATGTGGTATTTGTGTGTGTGTTATAATAAGGAATCAGTGACATTATACGGCTGAAAGTAGCTTTAGGATTCTAATAACTACAGATTATAATGCAAGACATTCAACTATTTAACGAATACTAAATTGTATATTTTTACTACTAAATCATTTTTAAAATCTAAAACATTTCTGTCCACCTCGTTGGTTTATTATTCTTTATGCATGTAGCTCTTGTAAGGAGCATAATGCAAAACATGAATCCGATGAAGTCATCATCTTAACCTATGTAATCGTTAAATTACATTGTATTTATTTACACATCCGGGATTATTTTCGCTTGGCTGGTAGTCCCGCCCAGCCGCCCATCTATTGGATGCTTCACACGCCAGTAATGCGACGCCCCGCCCACTCACAAAGCAGCAAGTCTATCACAACACAAAGAGTGCAACAAAGACTAGAGAAATGTACAGCCTAACCGACACACAAAACTGTCAGATAGTCTCAGTTTGAGGTCTCAGACGGAATCTGCACCGAGACAAGACAACCGAAACCAAAAAATAAATAAAAATATCACAAAGTATACTCTGGAGAAAAAAAAACATTCAGCTTCCCTATAGAAAATCTATGCCGAACTTCGCATTGAGATCCAGTTCAGGTGGTAAGTTGAGACTTTACGTTCATTTCAAGTTTAGAGACTCGTATATTTGATACGTGAAAACATGCTTATTGTTGTAGAACTCTTGTTAATTAACACAAACTCAAAACCATTCCTCTCTAAATCTCTGGTCTGTCAGTGGAGAAAATGTGGAGCTGGATGCATGCACGCGATTTATAAGTTAATTATACGGAATAAAAACTCAAATATGGTATTTTGATCGCATGAATCATACAATTTACCGTTGGCATTGGTGTTTGCAGACATCAAGTCTCAAAATTCTGCCTCTGTGTCACTCAGCGCTTCCTGGTTTTGTCACGAAGCACGAGTCTTTGTTTTGTTTCCACGTTGGTTGCACAGTTTCTTTGTCGTTTTCTCTAAAGATCCCGCTGACAACAATCAGTTTGCACCTTTTGTAGCTGGTAGCCTATTGTTGGCTCGCTGAATTGCTTTTATGAAGACCTTGCTTTAGTTGTTTGTCTCTTTGCAGGGAAGTAAACAAAAGAAACAAATGAATGCTTACGCCGAATAAGTGCTACGGAATAATTGACTCGCTTATTGTTATTCTATAAGTGATTAGGAGCTTAACGTGGCCATTCGAGCTCCTAAATGGTTAGATTTGTTATAGCTATTATTGTTTTTCTTAAGCCGTAATGCTCATGATTAGCCTCATCCTCTCAGGTTAACACGCGCTCATGAACCTCCTTTGTTTGTCTGCTGTTGATCTTGCTTCAGATTCACCGTCCTCGGGTCTTCTTTTACGATTTTAACGCTTCATTTGTTCCCATTAATTGAATTAGTTGCTTAGCCGATTAAACAGTTATAAACATTTTCATGAATTTCACAATGTTTGTGGTTACAAAATCAACTTATCTTTATGAAAGCACGCTTGACTTGACGAGGACGTAATCAGGTTCATTTGTTTACAATATAATTCGTGCTACAAACATTAAATGCGGGTAATAATCTCGACCTTTTATGTTTGCACGTTCTGCATAGAATTGCAAAAAGTCATACATATTGAATATCCACGTATGATGTTTACAGGTAAACAAGTTCTCATTTCCACCGAGACGCGTGTCACATCGCGCGCTGCGTTGCCATCCCCGCTTATTATACGCGACGTCGTGCTTTATGTGTTTACGTAAAGTCGCTTATAATTATAGGCAGTTTTGAGGGCTTATTAATAACAACTATGTCAATACAGTTGCATATTTGACTGCCAAGAGCTTGGTCTTTACAGCACAATGAATTATGATCTACTAATAGCAGATGTCAAATATTCCTACCTGCTGTGCGCACCGCAGTATATTATGTAATTATTAAAAGCAGTAGCCCAATTCATCTTTCATTCCCTGTTTCTGCGTTTCTTATAATCCCCTTTCACGTGTGTGAATGAGAGAGATTTAGCTGGTCAGTTGTAATATGTAAACCGTCTAAATTATTTGTGGTGGAGGACATACAGACTTGTTTAGCATCAGGATTAATTTGACATTGTTTAACGCAAATGAAAAGCAACATGGGGTTGCTGCTTCATGCTTATTTCGGTTAGGCAAGTCAGAGCATGTTGCTTGTTTTAGCAAGATCTGGCAACACTTGGCGCCACAGGAGCAGAGCTCGCGCGTTTTGTTGTTGGTCTGCATGGTTGGAGCTTCCTGTGCTATTGCGGAAGTGTGTCTGTATTTTTCTATTGCGTACAGTGTTGTTGCCCCCTCATTAGCGCATTATACAGGGTTTCCTGTTATTTTCTGATTGTCTGTGCGAACAGAATGCGAACTGTGAAAAGACGAATGACAAAAAAGGATGGCAGTTAGCAAAGCACATATTCAAATCTACCAGTGCCTCAAGCAGCATTCATCTACAAGTGTTAAAATAACTTGATAATCATGTTCCTGAAAAAGCACCATGGTACAGTGGTATCACATGGTAATATGTTACTGTATGATAATCAAAGGATTGCCAGTTGCTAAAATCTATTGAAATAAGTGCAGCCTTAACTGATTTACTGCATTAGTAATATTTTGGCTCTGTAATAAAGGGGCAGTCTGGCCTTAAGCAAGTTGATTTGAATGTCATCCTCTAATAGACACTGGATTTCCCACAGTGGCAATAAAGCTTAGCTTGGTCCTCTTGGTGCACAGGGCAACTAGCTGCAGTTTTTGACATGCTTAAACAACCGTTGTTGGCTAAAAAGTGAATCTTAAATATGTGGTATTCACTGGAGGGAAAATCATTATTATTCACACTTCATCAGACACACAATGCCTCACAGACTGCTCAGGCTTAAGCTGTCACGGGTGAAGAGGAAATGATTGTTTTCTTTCGCTTTTATCTGATTTCAGCTGCTAATTTGCTAAGTATTCTTGCAATTCTAGGACTAATTTTTCATGCTAAAGAAATGGTTCACACAAGTTGAGCATGGCGCTAGCAACACCAAGGTCATGGGTTTGATTCCCAGGAAATACACTGAATTAAAAGTGTATACCTTGAATGCAGCGTAAGTCTCTTTAGATAAAAGTATCTGCTAAATGCATAAATGCAAATGTAGGTTCAACATAAATATGGAAAATGTCATCATTCAATGGTTTGCCTTTCCATGCAATTTCTATGAGAAATGTTGTCATACTTCTGTATCTTTTTTTAAGTTTGAATGCTCTTGTTCATATTTATTGTAATTGCATGGAAAAGTGACCAGTGCAATTTCTCCTTTTGTGTTTCATGTAAAAAAAAAACTCAAGAAAGACATATGGTTTTGGAAGAGCATGAGGATGAGTAAAGGATGTAAGACTTTTCATTTTTGGGTGAACTGCTTTTTTAAAGTCAGTTCAGCCTGTCTTTTATAGTTTGGTAGGATAGAGTATGTTTATTCCAAAAAGTAATGTCCTTCCCCATCTTCCTTTCCCTTTATTTCCAGGTCGTATTTTCTCCTGTGGTGTCTGTGTGGAGCGTGCCACACATCCACTCCACAACAACGACGGCTTTTGCTTGCATCTTCCAGTGTTTCTTCTGTCAGCAAGTTCAGCAGAGCTGCAACTCGTCTAGCGCCAGCCCAGAGGAACCCAGTGAGGAGGACCACGACTGTGAGATGGTAAAAATGACAAAGTCCAAGACCTTCCAGGCTTACCTGCCCAACTGTCACCGAACCTACAGCTGCATCCACTGCCGGGCACATCTCGCCAATCACGATGAGCTCATCTCAAAGGTCAGTGGAGACTCTAATGGACTCATAGACAGTGTTGGGGAGTAACTAATTAAAAGTCGCCATACTACCAACTTAACTACATTATTCAGTACTGTCACCACACTTTAGCTGCTTTCAAAGTACTGTAGCTTTTTATTTTCTTTTTAATTGAAAATATATATTAGATATGTAACTATTATTATTACTTTATTATTCTATTACATACATACATACATACAAATGTGTGCGTGTGTAAAATGTATTTGTGTGTGTATATATATATATATATATATATAATGGGTGTGTGTGTGTGTATATATATATATATATA